CAAGTGAGTTCCGTTAGCGCTCGATGAATGTTCAACGAGTATCAATAACTCCCAACCTACACCGGCAAGACAACGAGCTCGTGGATCAATGCTTACTGCGTCAGACTCTGATAGAAAAGGTCGCAAGTTCGAGGCTCGGGTGGTGCACCGCTTGGGTCTGGGTATGACTGGCTGGCGATTGCAAATAATCCAGAAATGGTCATTCTCGTTTCCGCTGCCTTTGTCGGCAGTCCTATATGCCTATACTACTAGTTCTTATTACGCCTCCTCTTCACAGGTTGGTGTCCACAGCAATCCTAGTCAACCGTTCGACTAAGCTGCGCTCAGTCTAACTGCGTAATTAACTGGATGTTCGAAGGAACCCACACTGTCCTCACGGTGTCCAGTTTGCATTAAGACACGGACTAATCTTGACTAGGTTATCCTGCTAACGTCAACTTATGGTGACCTGCGGAGTACAGTGTTTCCAGTGAACTGGAACACTACAGCAGTAGGCTTATCTGTCAACGCTACTATGAACAGAGTATTGCCAAGATGCGTCTGCGATGAAGAGAAGACAGCCTTAGTTAGCCTGAAGAAGTTGACGGTTAAAATACTTAGGCGCCAAGTTTCTCCCAAGGGGATAGAGTTAAGATGATATCGTCCACTGACTCAGGGCTGTTTACAGGTTTTTGAGGTTTTCTGTTGACCCGTTGCTATATCTCAATCGTTACTGCATGTATTGCGCATTCGCTCTTCTGACTTACCTTTAAGGGCATGGCTGCTGGGTTTAACATTCAAGGGACGAACGAAGACCGAGAGTTGGCTGCCATTGCTTGAAAACAACTTTTCAAGTGAAGTAAATCGACTTCGTCGTGGAGGAGACAGGCTGCACTCGCTGTGACAACATCGTCGGAATATGGTAGAGATCCAAAGAAATCAGTTGAGATTGCTAGGGCAGGTTTCTTCTCACTGGCCACATGCCTACAGGACTCTTACACAAATTCCTACGGCGTTGCTTATTGGGAGACAATGAAAAGATCGACTCGAAAATTAACTTGACACAATTCACCATCATATTGCGGTATTTCTTGGACTTCCGGTAATCGTCGTAATCATAAGGTGGATTAAGCTCTCCTAGATCGCTGCTGTTGATCGCTGAGCATGAAAGTGACATCCGGGACAGAATTGAGATCGGCTAGATCCCGTGTGATCAGACACATGAGCAGTACGTGTATTTTCTCTCGAAATGTTGCGAAAACGATATGCTGGTTAATGTCCCTTGTGATTCCAATGAACTTGAGTAGAACAACCGTTGTTATCCGAGAGTCGGTACACTGTAATCATCGCTTTTGCATCACTACAATTGGAAGTATTATCTCGACAGTATCGGCGGCCAATCAACCTACGGATAACCAGCTAGTAACCTTAAATACCATAACACCACAGTAAACTCAGCTGATGTGAGCATGTGAACTATAGACCACACTTTTCTTCCGATTTTGCATTCCTAGCTGTTACTACCTTGCACTGGCATATCTACACGGCAAAAATTTCCTCGAGAGTTCCTCCTTGCTCACACGTTGCCAAAGCCAAGCCAACCAGGCAATTGAGGACCTGGCTGCGCTGGATGACCTCTCTGAGGAGACGGAAGCCGAGGCAGCGCCTGGACACTCGCGCTCCGTGCTGCGTCAGCTGAT